TTAGGTTTGAAACCTTGGCATAGAGTGTAAGTTTCAACACTGGATACAGATTACCTGGAGGTAACGCTGGGATAGAGTAGCTATAAAAAACAAGAGAGGGTTACTTTGAATCTTTCAACTTGCTTTTAATCTAAAAGCAAAATTGAGGTGGGAAGCCAGAAAAGTACTCTGGATTTTGCATATTAAAACCTTATATAAAGTATAGCTGTTTGTGATCATAAAAATGTTACAGGTCCTTTAAAATGCTTTTGAATGTCATGAAATTGAAGATAGGAGAAAGTGGAGTTTCAGATAATAGGGCCAACTAGTTAGTACTTGAACATATACTGTTAGTTTTCCAATTAGTTTTTCTTGACTATTTGCTATAGAATCCTCCCGTGATAAAATGACAAAGATCTAGTCCAACATTCTCCTTCTATAGACATAGATACTTGAGTCAGTTGGTAGAGGATCCATTCTTGAGAATCCAGCCACGAAAGTAGTGTGATCTCTTCGTCCATCACTGGTTCTAACCCTTAATAGTATATTAAGGGTAGTTGCCTCTGATCTCTGAAAAAAAGTGTTGTTTTTTTTCTGTCCATGCCTAAATATTTTAATTCATCCCCACTGAAGTTTTTAAACATTATGTGTGTCCACTTATGTGTGTGTGTGTGTTAGAGGGAAGAGAACAGATGTGGTTTAACCTTAAATTAAGTGAAAGAATTGGAAAGACAAATAAATGGTTCCAATCATTAAATGTACATTATGGAAATTAGCCAGTTTTTTGTTTTTAAGAAAAGCATAGTCCATCACTCAAGAATGACATAAAATCAATTTTTTGTATTGTAGATAATAATAGCAGGGACTGGTCATAGCGTTAAAATTAAAGAACATTGAGCCTCTGATCCATTTAAATTTACAATCCTTCTCCTAGAGCAAAGAGAGCCTCCAGAGGTCTTTCTTGGCTTGGCCTCAAATTCTAATTATAACTTATAGGGATTTCTTAATCCAAGAATAGCTTCTTTGAAGTAAAAGAGTAAAGAAGAAAAATCATCAAAAAAAAAAGAAAAAAAAAAAACAGCTAAGAATTCACCTATGAGTACCCCTTCAAGGTCATGGTCAAGGATAAGAGAGGAAATTTTTCATATCCTAGGACTTACCTAAAGTAGCACTGTGTTCATTAACATGGCTACTAGGACAATGCACACCCTGAGTGCTTGAAACAAGAGAATTCTTTCACAGTTCTGGAGGCTGGAAGGTGAGATCAAGGTGTCAGCAGGTTTGTTACCCTGAGACCCCTCTCCTTGGCTTGCCAATGGATACCTTCCATCCTTTGTCCTCCTGTGGCCTGTTTTCTGTGCAATACTACCTTGGTGTCTCTCCTGCTTCTACTAAGGATACCACCTGGGTTGGGTTAGGGCCCACCCATAGGACCTCACTCAACTGGAATCACCTGTTTAAAGGGTCAATGTCAAAACACAGTCACATTATGATTACTGGGGGGTTAGCTCTTCAGTATGTGAATTTGGAATTTGGAATATCAGCACAAACCAAAACAGGGGGAAACCAGAGAGACCCAAACTAGAGATCTTGAGTTAGCCACAGAGAGGTGCAGGCACCCTCACCTGGACCCACAGAAATTTTATTCCATTTGTTACATGGTTCGCACTGCCCCAGGAATGCAGCAAAAGGGAGACTCCCTCCTCAGTGCACATTCGAGTGCATCTTTGTGTGCTGCCCACAGAAGTGGGAAATGCAGGGACCGGGTTGGAGGCCCTGCAGAGCTCTGAGAGTGAGTGCCCCCTGCAGACTTGCATGAGGCATCTCTCTTGGTGGTCTCACCTCTCAGGACACCTGTGATTAGTGCAGCAGCACCAGGAAGAGCTAAAACTGAGCAGTCACATAGCTCCTGATACACATTTCAGATCAGTTTTCTATTCGTGTCACTAGGGACTGGAGCATGGGATTGCTAAAATAACCTCTTTCTCTATTTTAAGGTTTAGATGGCAGCCAGGAGAGCTATGCATGGAATAGGGAAATGCACCACTGTGGAGGATGATGGCTGCCTTCGTGGTGGGAATCGTGTTGCAGCTGAAGAGGTAAGATCCTGTACCTGTGAATCACCTATGGTGTAGTATACCAATGTGATCTCAATGAGATCAACAACAACAACAACAACAACAGAAAAGTGGAGAACTTCAAAAAGGGGGGGGTATAAAAAAAGATAGCAAAAGAGGGCTCGTTGACAAGGAGCTTATTGGAACACAGAGCCAAAGAATATTTTAAAATCGACCTGCTATATTAAAGGTGAAACTGGGTAGTTTAATAGAAAATACACCATTGGCTAAAATACTGATACAAAATACACATCTTGAGTCATGGAAAGGGGGTGGGGAAATATAGCAATTGGCCCCCAGCCCCATCCCCACTGTCAGCAGAAGAACAGATATGGGATGGTGAGGTGAGGTAGACAGGAGATGACCTGGCCTAATAATTCTACGACTTTTCTACATTTTCTTTTCTTTTCTTTTTTTTTAAGATTTATTTATTTATTTATACAAGCACTGGGTAGCGTGGGAAGGTGAGAGAATTCACCAGAGCCAGAGCGGGGAGCAGGGCAGGCAGAAGGACCGAAGTACACTGCTGAGGGGAGCAGCGGGTGGCAGGAGAGGTCTGCGCGCCATGTGGGACCCTCCTCTGGTGGCTGGGGAGCAGCCAGGGATTGAACCAGCACTGCAGAGGCTGCGGGCAGCTTCGCAACCCAGCGCTCAACCACTGAGCCACCAGGGAGGCCCAGTTTTCTACACTTTCATTGGACAGTCATCAGATCAGAAGTTGGTCTTTCTAGCACATTATTATGAAAACACGGATATCCTGTGGCTGGGATTCAGCTTCGGACCTGTTGGTAGCCCACTCAAGCATCAAGTCCCCCTGAGAGGGAGATGATGGTGACTGTGACTTTTTGCTTGTTTCCCCCAGGACACCTGCCAGATGGAAATCTATAATTCAGAGTTGCACATAACATGAAAACTCTTATCCTATATACTTATCTAACCACACTTCTGCCAGAGCACCTGGTTTCATTGGGGATATTTTAGTAATATGATTAAGCTCCTCTATCACAATCTAGTTTAATTGTGGTGTAAAATTTGGCACGATTGGATTACTTAGGAAGCAGTGAAAAAAATGGGTGAAAAGTGACTCAGTAACTGCCTTATCTCTATAAAGGATTTTTCATTAAAACTATTAACTAAATGAGGGGTTATTAAAAAGAATCAGCTTTTCAACAGATGCAACAATGGGGGAAGAAGGTACAAATGGATTTTAGAAAAATTAAGGTGAGTGCTAGGAGAAGCTTTGGAAATCAAAGGAAGTTAAATACTAGACTATGAACTATTAACAAGGGCACTTGTTTTACAGAACTACAAACTCATTAAAAACTTTCAAAGGGCCTCCCTGGTGGTGCAAGGGGTTAATCACAGCACTATGATGCAATCTGCAGCCTCTGCAGCACGAGTTCAATCCCCAGCCATCCAGGGAGAAACCCACATGGTGCAGCAGACCTCTCCTGACTCACCCGCTGCTCCCCTCAACAGTGTACTTCTCTGGTGAATCCTCTCACCTCCCCGCATCTCTGGCCTATACCCCAGCTCTTGTATGCATAAATAAATAAATCTTTAAAAAAAAAAAAAAAACTTCATGGATTCCTATGAGTCTGAAATGACATTGTTCCTCAAGTTTCTTGAGTTTCCCTCTAGGCCAACTGATTGTTTTAGTCATATAAAAATGTGCCTAAAGGAGACTTTATCAACTACAGCACAGGGTGTGAAAGGGAGTATATAATCTGTGGAGGCTTACTGAATGACAATGAGCAAATAGACAAAAGAGTAGCTCAGTAACCAAAATCAAGAAGATGAGTGATTTCACCAAATTCACTCTACTGTCAGAACAATGATAGCCAGATCCAATTTTCAGGAAGAAGTGTACTAGAAAGTAGTGGCTTCAGTGACAGATCCTGTAATAATTAGAATAACAAGACTGTTGCCCTAAGAGACATTGCAAGGCCTTGAAAGTAGATGTGCTTGGACACATCTCTATCAATCCACAGAATTTTCCTAAGCACAGCTCACTTCTCCAGGGGAATCGTGCTGCCAGTGAGAAATTAACACTCCTCAGTCTTGAGGCTCCTTCCCTGCCTGTATTTGGTATCTCAGATTCCAAGAAACTACTTTGATTCAGAAAAGATGAAGAATCAGGACACTTCTGAGAATAGAGCTATGAATATTCAGGAATTGTCTTTTCAGGGCTCAGCATCTGGGAAAACCAGTTCCTGGGTGATGTTTCTCAGATGTAAATTCCTGGGTTCAAATCTGATTGGCTCAGGGAGGTCATGTGCTCTGGACACCAGCAGAGGGGAGAGATCCTCAGTATGAAACCTAAACCCCTGGTGCTTGAAGAGAAGGAGAGGAGCTTGCACAGGGCAGAGAAAAAAAGACAGGACAGCTTCAGTTCCCTCCACTTTACAGCCAGAAAATTAAAATCCAAACAAATAATCAGTGCAAGGAAATGGGTCTGTTAGAGGAAAATGATTGACATTAACATTTCAGGATGTGTCTGGAGCTGTCAGACTAAAGACTTTGGAAATGAGCCCTCCCCTATGGTTAGGAGACTACTCTCAGGACTGGTTTCTGAGAGCAGCCTGATTTCCTTCCTCTACTCCCTCCCACATAGTTTCCACCAATAGCAGAGACTGTTGTTGCAGGACAAGGGAAGAGTAACTTCAAGTTGCCCTGTGGAACCAAGCTTAGCTGAGGTTTCGCCATTTTGTATATCCTCCACCTTGATATGTTAGTCCTTGTCCTGCCGCATTCCGGAGATAGTTTCAGCAGTCACAACCCTCACTCCACTTGGTGACGAAAAAGCAGACCACCCCAGCCACCAATGAGGGCAGTCCTGTCCATAAATGGGACAGCATCTCTAACCGTCCAATCAGTTTGAAACTGTAACCCGCGCGCCCAAAGTGCCTTTGTAGTAGCCAATGAATAATTGCCAACTTCTTTCAAAGTTCCCGCCACTCGCGACCCTATAAGATGTCCCAGCTTCCTCTGTTCGGGGCTCTCGACCTCTGCCGTTGCATCGGTGCGTGTCGAGGGCCCGGTCTCGAGCCCGTATTAAACTCCTTTGTGCCCTTGCATCGGTTGTCTGTGTCCTTGGGGGCTGCACTGGTCGACGTGGGCACAACATTTTGGGGGCTCGTCCGGGATCGACGAGTGCAGACCCCAACTGCCGAGCAACCGAAAGGAGTTCTAAAGCGCGCAGGTGAGTTCCAACACTCGCCCAGGTAAGCTTCAAGTCTGCAGACCTGTAGTTGTACTTAGTACCTGTATCTTTTGTACTTTGTACCTGTAGAAGCTGTTTTGTACTTAGTACCTGTATCTTTTGTACTTTGTACCTGTAGAAGCTGTTTTGTACTTAGTACCTGTATCTTTTGTACTTTGTACCTGTAAAAGCTGTAATTGTTTGCAAACCTGAAAATCTGTTCAATAGCCGGGTCAGGCTTAAGTGGACGCACTTGAAAGCCGCCGGCGTGGACCGCGGGAGACGTCCCCGGACCACATGTTAGGAAGGCCACACCCTTTGCGGGGAAGCAGATACCCCTTTTGGGGGCCTTTTGAAATATCAGTCTTTGGCCTGTTTCTTGTGACGACAGCCACTGTACTTCTAGCATTTGTCATCATGGGTCAATCACCATCTACCCCTCTATCCGTTGTTTTACAGCATTTTAAAGATGTCAGGTCCAGAGGGTCGGACCTCAGTGTAAAAATAAAAAAATCCCCTCTAATCACCTTTTGTTCCTCAGAGTGGCCGAAGTTCGGAGTTGGTTGGCCCCCGGAGGGAACTTTTGATTTACAGATTGTCCGTCGCGTAAAGGAAATCATCACCAGTGAAAGAAAATTCGGACATCCTGACCAACTCCCGTATATCTTAGTCTGGCAAGATCTAGTCCAGAACCCCCCTGCTTGGTTAAAGCCATTTTTGTCGTTACAGGCACAACCCGTACTGCCGGCTAAACTGCTTGGGTCCCACCCCAACACCCCGTCGGCACCTGCGGTTTTCCAAGACTCTACCCCGGAGGAACTTCTATTTCCACCACCCTATCATAACCCTTGTAGTAACCCTCCCCAACTCCTGCGGTCGGCTGACCACCCTCCCCCAGAGGCGGGCGGGGCTCGTGGGCAGGGTCCGGCGGCAGGCACCCGCTCAGTGAAGGCGAATTCCCCGGATTCCACCGTCCTGCCCCTGCGTGTGGCAGGATTGCCTAATGAGCAGGGCAACCAGCCCATGCACTACTGGCCGTTTGCGACCAGTGACCTCTACAACTGGAGAGCACAAAATGCACGTTTCTCTGACAACCCTAAAGACCTTGTTAATCTCCTAGACACTGTTCTATTTACTCATCAGCCCACCTGGGATGATTGCCAACAGCTCTTGCAGGTCCTCTTCACCACTGAGGAGCGAGATCGTATACTGACGGCCGCCAGGAAATTAGTCCCTGGAGAAGATGGCACACCCACCACAAACGCGGCCCGCATAGATTTAGTGTTTCCCTTGACCCGACCTGACTGGGATTTTAACCAGGCTGAAGGTAAGGAGAGACTCCGGGTGTACCGCCAGACTCTAATGGCAGGGTTGCGTGCAGCAGCCCGCAAGCCCACCAATTTGGCCAAGGTAGGGGATGTGCAGCAGGGAAGGGAGGAGACCCCCGCGGCTTTTCTAGAACGCCTCATGGAAGCTTTTCGGCAATATACTCCTATGGATCCGGAGGCAACGGAGAACAGGGCCGCGGTGGTAATGGCCTTTGTTAACCAGGCGGCTCCTGACATTAAACAAAAACTACAAAGAATAGATAGGCTGGGAGAAAAATCTATTCGAGATCTTATGGAGGTGGCAGAAAAGGTGTACAATCGCCGTGAAACTCCTGAGCAAAGAGAAGACCGCATCCGCCAGGAAGAACGGAAGGTAAGGGCGGCTGAAAACGCACGCCACACTCGGGATATGGCCAGAATCCTGTTCGCCGTCACTCAAAAGGACGACCTGGGTAAGCTACACCCCTCCCGCCGCCCCAGCTCCACAGGGACAGGCAGGACCCTACAGCGTGATCAATGTGCATACTGCACTCAAAAAGGACACTGGGCCAAACATTGCCCAAAGAAACGGGGAATAACCTCAAACAACCCCGCCGTTTCTGACACTCCTGTCCTGGTGCTCGGGGGCACAAGAGATGACAGTGACTAGGACCGTCAGGGCTCGACCCTCCCCGAGCCCCGGCTAACCTTAAAAGTGGAGGGGAGACCCGTTAATTTCCTTGTGGACACGGGGGCACAGCATTCAGTCCTCACGGAACCCTTGGGTAAACTTTCCGGTAAAACTTCGTGGGTGCAAGGGGCTACGGGATGCAAGCAGTATCCCTGGACCACGAAAAGATCTGTAGACCTGGGAAAAGGTCAGGTCTCGCACACCTTCGTTGTAATTCCTGAATGCCCGTACCCATTAATTGGAAGAGACCTTTTAACCAAGGTAGGAGCGCAAATCTCATTTGGACAGGAAGGTGTCGAAATCAAGGACTTTAAGGGCTCTCCCCTACACGTCCTCACGATTTCCCTTCAAGATGAGTACCGCCTTTTGGTGGCGCCAGATCACCCACCCCTTTCTGGGTGGTGGATGGAATCTTTCTCGAATGTTTGGGCAGAAACCGGGGGCGTTGGCCTGGCGTCCCACAGACCACCCATTATAGTCCAGCTAAAGCCTGGGGCTGAACCCATTCGGGTAAAACAGTACCCTATGCCTGCAGAAGCCAAGACAGGAATAACGCCTCATATTCGGAGGCTATTGGACAGTGGTATCCTTAAAACATGCCATTCGTCATGGAACACCCCTTTGTTACCGGTGCGAAAACCACACTCGCAAGACTTCAGGCCGGTACAGGACCTCAGAGAAGTAAATAAACGGGTCATAGATATCCACCCCACAGTCCCAAACCCTTATACCTTGCTGAGTGCCTTGCCACCTACTCATGTGTGGTACACAGTATTGGACTTAAAAGATGCCTTCTTTAGTCTACCACTAGCACCCCAAAGCCAGGAAATGTTTGCCTTTGAATGGCAGGATGCGGAACGGGGCATCAGTGGACAATTAACTTGGACAAGGTTGCCTCAAGGGTTTAAAAACTCTCCCACCCTTTTTGACGAGGCCCTTCATGAGGATTTAAGAAAATTCCGCAGCCGATTTCCCGAACTAACTTTGCTCCAGTATGTTGATGATCTGTTACTTGCAGCGGAAAGTGAGCATGCCTGCCGAACAGGAACAGCCGAATTACTGACGGAACTGGGCCAGATGGGATACCGCGTCTCCGCAAAAAAGGCACAAATTTGCCTGCCCGAGGTAATCTATCTGGGCTACCGCCTCAAAAACGGTTATAGGTGGCTGACGGAAGCCAGAAAAGCTACTGTCTTACAGTTGCCGACACCCACCACCAAAAGGGAGGTACGTGAGTTCCTGGGATCTGCTGGGTTTTGCCGGCTATGGATACCTGGATTCGCAGACCTGGCCCAACCCTTGTATGAGGCTACCCGGGAAAAAGTAACTTTTCAGTGGACTCCCCAGATGCAGCAGTCTTTTGAGTCCTTAAAGAGGGCTTTACTGTCTGCACCAGCCCTGGGTCTTCCGGACATTACAAAGCCTTTCCATTTGTTCGTAGATGAGGCAAAGGGCATAGCTAAAGGGGTGCTCACTCAGTCCTTGGGCCCCTGGAGGCGTCCTGTGGCTTATCTGTCTAAAAAGTTAGACCCGGTGGCGTCCGGCTGGCCACCGTGCTTACGCATGGTGGCAGCGGCTGCCCTCCTTTTCAAGGACTCCCAAAAACTGTCTCTGGGACAAGTTACTTCCATAACCACCCCCCATGCGGTGGAAGGAGTCCTCAGGCAGCCGCCAGAGAGGTGGATGAGTAATGCCCGAATCACGCATTACCAAAGCCTATTGCTCAACCCAGAGAGGGTCAATTTTTCGCCACCCACGGGGCTAAACCCCGCCTCCCTCCTACCTGCCCCTGACCTGGAGGCCCATCTAGACTGTGTTGATATCTTGGCCCAGGTCCAAGGGTTACGCCCTGATCTGCGAGATAACCCTCTGCCGGACGGACTGGTTTGGTTTACGGATGGGAGCAGTTTTATCCACGAGGGCCGAAGAGCGGCAGGGGCGGCAGTGGTGTCCATGCAGGAAGTCATATGGGCTGAGCCTTTGCCATCCGGGACGTCCGCTCAAAAGGCTGAACTAATTGCCCTAACCAAAGCTCTCACCTTGGCTCGAGGGAAAAATTTAACTGTGTATACTGACAGCAGATATGCATTTGCCACGGCCCACGTACACGGGGCCATATATCGAGAGCGCGGGCTCTTAACCTCCGACGGCAAAGGCATTAAAAACGCTCAAAAAATTATGGATCTCCTGGCAGCGCTGTGGCTACCACGTAAGCTGGCTATAGTACATCATCCAGGTCATCAAAAGGACTCCTCGACTCCAACTCAAGGTAATAAGCGGGCGGATGAGGCAGCACGCCAAGCTGCCCTAATGCCGGTAGATGCCCTGACAGTAAAACTCCCAGACCCAGGGGACCCGCAGCTGCCGGAAGACCCAGAGTATAGTGCTATGGACTTTGACTACATACAGTCTCTACCGGGTGCTTTTTCTTTGGGACACTGGTGGTACACCCAAGAAACTAAGGCCATCTTGCCAGCACACTTGGCCACTGATCTCATTCAGCGCTTGCACCGAGCCACGCATTTGGGAGAGAGAAAAATTCTAACTCTAATCAGGCAATGGAACCTCCATGTCCGGGACGCAACCTGTACCGTGCGACAAGTAGTGGCATCCTGCCAGTCGTGTGCCATGGTAAACGCCACCAAGACAACCGGTGAACCAGGAATGAGGCCGCGAGGAACGCGCCCGGGGGTCCATTGGGAAATAGACTTCACCGAGGTAAGACCAGGTAAATTTGGCTATCGATACCTGCTGGTCCTGGTGGACACGTTTTCCGGATGGCCGGAGGCGTTCCCGACAAGAGGTGAGTCAGCTCGAGTGGTAGCCAAAATCCTGTTGGAAAACATTTTTCCTAGATTTGGGTTTCCAGTGACCATTGGGTCAGACAATGGACCAGCCTTTGTCTCTCAGGTATCGAAATCTGTGGCTTCTGCCCTGGGAGCAGAGTGGAAGCTCCATTGTGCCTATCGGCCCCAGAGTTCAGGGCAGGTGGAGAGAATGAACAGAACTTTAAAAGAAACTTTAACTAAATTAACTTTAGAGTCTGGCGGGGACTGGGTGACTCTCCTTCCCTATGCCCTCTTCCGGGCTCGCAATTCCCCTTATCGTCTGGGTCTGTCTCCGTTCGAGATTATCTATGGAACCGCCCCCCCAACCACACCGCACGGTGCGCAGTTAGCTTGTGATTTGCCTTCTGATTGTGAACTTTTTCTTTCTGTGTGGGCTGTACAGCAGGCTCACCAGGAGGTCTGGCCCCGCCTCAGAGCGCTCTATGAAGGGGGAGGACCTTCTCAGACAGCCCACAAATTTCAGCCTGGAGATCTTGTCCTTGTCCGCCGACACAAGACCGACGGTCGTGGCCTCCAGCCCCGGTGGAAGGGTCCCTACATCGTCCTCCTGACCACACCCACCGCACTCAAAGTGGACGGCATCGCGGCCTGGGTTCATCACTCACACGTCAAGACGGCACCAACTGACGACTCCCAGCTGCAGTGGCGAGCCCGGAAGCATCCCACCAATCCACTCAAGCTGACTCTTCAGGCGCTCCCGGCTACAACCCATCGCTCCCAGACCACTGCCCACGCCGTGAAAAATGACACCAAACTGTAATGTTGGCTACCTACTGTCCTTCCTTTGTTTTCTCCTTGTCGGGGCTGACTGGGATCCCTGCCGACGGTGCATCACCGAAGGCATATTCGGTCATATTCAGAGCAAGTGCTATGTTAGTAAGCGTGCTTGCAGCCTTAAGGGAGTTCCTTTGTTTGTGGCGACCCTGATTAAGGGCACCACCCATGGATGTCCAGGTACAGTGGGGAGGGTGGTCTGTTGGAAGCGTTTAAATCAAATGCCGCCTAAAAATGAAAGTTGCAATCACTGTAAAGAGGGGGGAGTTTTTCAGCCTATACCTTTGTTCATTCACAGTGCTATGAAAGGTCTACTGTTTATCAGTGCACAGAGTCCAATCGAACTTTCTGGACTGGTATATCCTTAGGAAATAACGCGGGATATGTATGCCCTGTCAAAGCAGGAAAACCCTTTGTTGGACTCTGCAAACCCACTGGGGATGACAGATGGTGGGGGTGTGCAAGACCACGCACGAAAGCAGGAAGTTCAGAGGGTTTTTGAACAAGTTGCCCAAACACAGGATCGGTGGTTCAAGCCGATACACATCCCAGGCCCGGTGGGTTCCCTTAAATTGGAAAAGACAGTACAGGCCATGTTAGACTCAGCCCTACAATTTTTAAACAAGACCAACCCAACCCTGGCCAGCGATTGCTGGTTATGTCTAAGAGAAGGACCCCCCCGTTACACAGCGATCCCTGCTGTGTACAACTGGATTAATTGGACGAACCTAAAGGGCCCAACCCATACGTGTAACCAGACCTTGCCCATCAATAATGTCAAGCTCTCCCCAACAGTTGCTCAGATGCCATGCCTTAGTCACAATGGGACCTTAAAAGTAGGTCAAGTAAATAAGGTACTCTGCAGTTCAGTAGTCAGTGCAACTAAGGCGCCCAGTTTTAATGGCTCTGCCTCTATGTGCCCGCCGGCACTGGGCACTATTTTCTTCTGTGGCACCACAGCCTACCCCGTACTCCCTGCTAACTGGTCGGGCTTGTGCATTTTAACATATCTCATGCCCGATGTGGGAGTGGTCCCAGGCAACCAAAGCCTTCCCATACAGCTCATCCAGTCTGTGCCTGCCGGACATAAGCGGGCCATAATTACCCCACTACTGCTCGGCCTGGGGGTGGCAGCCGGAGTGGGGACCGGAGTTGCTGGAATTGGGACCTCTGTTAACCTTTACCAAAAAATTTCAGCTCAGCTGGTGGGGGACATTGGGCGGCTAGCAGATACAACCTTAGAGTTACAGTCTCAGTTAGACTCTTTGGCCGCGGTGGTCCTGCAAAACCGCCGCGGGCTAGATCTTCTCACAGCAAAGGAAGGAGGCATCTGTCTCTACCTGCGGGAAGAATGTTGCTTCTATGCTAACAAGTCAGGAATAGTTAGAAATAAAATTAAGCAATTACAAGAGGAACTAGAACACCGGAGAAAAAAGCTAGAAGACAACAATGCATTTCTTTGGGAAGGCTTAGGAGGATGGCTGCCCTATCTCTTGCCTCTTCTGGGCCCAGTCGTTACCCTCTTCTTAATTCTGTCTATCGGGCCCTGTGTCATTAATCGACTCGTGGCCTTTATTAAACAACGGGTAAACACGGTCCAGTTAATGGTGCTGCGCTCCCAATATGCCCCCTTACGCCAATATAACTCTCCCCAACAACCCTTAAACAGGACCCCTCCCAATACATAGGAGTGGAGCCCTGACTGTTTCCCCTCATCGCCCACTTTCAGCAGGAAGCAGTTACTGATCAGAACGACGCCCCTTTTCCTGACTGCAGTTAGGGGCTCCATTCCCAAAAAGGGAGGAATGAGACATAGGGCGAGTTAGGGTGATTAAGCAAGTTTCAGGAACAGTACAAAAGAGGACCTCTAAGGAGTTTAGGAAGGCTTCAGGGATAAAAACAACTAAAGAAACATCTCTTGTTTAAGCAGAGTAATTGTCATTTGTGGCTGAGAACTTTTGCTGGACCTATAACCCTGTGAATGAACAACAAAATGACACATAATGTGACTAAACGTAACCATAATTCTGAGACTGACTAACTGATAAAAGGCTTGGTAGCTGTGTTATTTTCTTAACTGACTAGCCGTTTTTTTTTTCAAAAAAAAAAAAAAAAAAATGGGAAATGTGGAACCAAGCTTAGCTGAGGTTTCGCCATTTTGTATATCCTCCACCTTGATATGTTAGTCCTTGTCCTGCCGCATTCGGAGATAGTTTCAGCAGTCACAAACCCTCACTCCACTTGGTGACGAAAAAGCAGACCACCCCAGCCACCAATGAGGGCAGTCCTGTCCATAAATGGGACAGCATCTCTAACCGTCCAATCAGTTTGAAACTGTAACCGCGCGCGCCCAAAGTGCCTTTGTAGTAGCCAATGAATAATTGCCAACTTCTTTCAAAGTTCCCGCCACTCGCGACCCTATAAGATGTCCCAGCTTCCTCTGTTCGGGGCTCTCGACCTCTGCCGTTGCATCGGTGCGTGTCGAGGGCCCGGTCTCGAGCCCGTATTAAACTCCTTTGTGCCCTTGCATCGGTTGTCTGTGTCCTTGGGGGCTGCACTGGTCGACGTGGGCACAACATTTTGGGGGCTCGTCCGGGATCGACGAGTGCAGACCCCAACTGCCGAGCAACCGAAAGGAGTTCTAAAGCGCGCAGGTGAGTTCCAAACACTCCCCAGGTAAGCTTCAAGTCTGCAGACCTGTAGTGTGTACTTGTACCTGTATCTTTGTACTTTGTACCTGTAGAAGCTGTTTTGTAACTTAGTACCTGTATCTTTTGTACTTTGTACCTGTAGAAGCTGTTTTGTACTTAGTACCTGTATCTTTGTACTTTTACCTGTAAAAGCTGTAATTGTTTGCAAACCTGAAAATCTTTTCAATAGCCGGGTCAGGCTTAAGTGAGACGCACTTGAAAGCCGCCGGCGTGGACCGCGGGAGACGTCCCCGGACCACATGTTAGGAAGGCCACACCCTTTGCGGGAAGCAGATACCCCTTTTGGGGGCTTTTGAAATAATCAGTCTTTGGCCTGTTTCTTTGTGACACAGCCACTGTACTTCTAGCATTTGTCATCATGGGTCAATCACCATCTACACCCCTCTTCCGTTGTTTTACAGCATTTTAAAGATGTCAGGTCCAGAGGGTCGGACCTCAGTGTAAAAATAAAAAAATCCCCTCTAATCACCTTTTGTTCCTCAGAGTGGCCGAAGTTCGGAGTTGGTTGGCCCCCCCGAGGGGACTTTTGATTTACAGATTGTCCGTCGCGTAAAGGAAAATCATCACCAGTGAAAGAAAATTCGGACATCCTGACCAACTCCCGTATATCTTAGTCTGGCAAGATCTAGTCCAGAACCCCCTGCTTGGGTAAAAGCCATTTTTGTCTTTCAAGGCACAAACCCGTACTGCCGGCTAAACTGCTTGGGTCCCACCCACAACCCGTCGGCACCTGCGGTTTTCCAAGACTCTACCCCGGAGGAACTTTATTTCCACCACCCTATCATAACCCTTGTAGTAACCCTCCCCCAACTCCTGCGGTCGGCTGACCACCCTCCCCAGAGGCGGGCGGGGCTCGTGGGCAGGGTCCGGCGGCAGGCACCCGCTCAGTGAAGGCGAATTCCCCGGATTCCACCGTCCTGCCCCTGCGGGTGGCAGGATTGCCTAATGAGCAGGGCAACCAGCCCATGCCACTACTGGCCGTTTGCGACCAGTGACCTCTACAACTGGAGAGCACAAAATGCACGTTTCTTCTGACACCCTAAAGACCTTGTTAATCTCCTAGACACTGTTCTATTTACTCATCATCCCCACCTGGGATGATTGCCAACAGCTCTTGCAGGTCCTCTTCACCACTGAGGAGCGAGATCGTATACTGACGGCCGCCAGGAAATTAGTCCCTGGAGAAGATGGCACACCCACCACAAACGCGGCCCGCATTAGATTTAGTTTTCCCTTGACCCGACCTGACTGGGATTTTAACCAGGCTGAAGGTAAGGAGAGACTCCGGGTGTACCGCCAGACTCTAATGGCAGGGTTGCGTGCAGCAGCCCGCAAGCCCACCAATTTGGCCAAGGTAGGGGATGTGCAGCAGGGAAGGGAGGAGACCCCCGCGGCTTTTCTAGAACGCCTCATGGAAGCTTTTCGGCAATATCTCCTATGGATCCGGAGGCAACGGAGAACAGGGCCGCGGTGGTAATGGCCTTTGTTAACCAGGCGGCTCCTGACATTAAACAAAAACTACAA